GTTGTATTCCAAATTTTAGGTTGATATCTCAAAAAATTAGCTTTCAGTAAGATTTTATTCGGGCGCAGTACCCAACTTTTTCACTAGGTGAACACCAGACTCCATTACTGCCCATATAAGGGCGCCTCCATTTTCATTTGTTTTGAGTGATCTGAACCATGTATTTCCATAATTTTCATACAATTTATGAAGTAGACATCCTATTCAGAAGTAGTATGGGTGGTTTGGCAGTATTTGATTTGAATTAAACCTCTAATAAATGCATAAAGACTACGTTATAGCGTTATAGCTCGCAGCCGCATTACAAATCGAGAATCCATACATTTTTCTTTATATTTAAAACATTTTCAGACCTTTTTTTCTCATAAAATGAAATTGGTGTTATCTTTTGAACTCATGGCATGAAAACAAACTGAGGTTTCTACCAATCTTTCATGATTTTTCGTGTTTATTGTTATTTCAAAATAAAGGCCTAAATACTCCTAATGAATATGAAATATTCTTGTTGGAAATTGATAAATTTCTGGTCCTCTGTAATATATTTTATATAACAGCCACCAAATATGAAAACTAGAGATTTTAAGCTTTCAAATGATATATAGTTTGGCAATATTACTTTAGGTTTTTACTAAGATATTATTGTTTTAAACATGCAATGGCAAATGGGCCCGCCGGCAGGTTAAGAGGTTAAAGCTACACAAAATTTGTAAATGTTATTGAAATAAACAGACAGCCGCATGTTTCCCTATTTTTCGGATTTTGGAAGATGCGTGATAAAAGTTGAAATTGTTGTCGTAAAGGCAAGAGCAACAGTAATCCAAATGTAGACTGGTCTGTCGGCGCCCTCCCTCTATGTCACATATAGCGAATATGTATTCGTGTACGCCACGCAGCGCCGCGTCAGACACGCTTCTGGTGTGCAAAGACACAGAAAACGCGACGCAGCCGCCATGCAGCTGACACGCAACAGAAACGCCACGCTCACGCCACGCAGCCAGTGTGTCTCCGGCCTTACGCCATTGCAAACGTGCGCGGCGCATGATAGAAAACAGAACGCGGGTCAATATATATATATATTTTAAATAATTCTGTGCTATGCGCAGCTGAGTGAACAACACAGGTGCGTGTGTCGCATAAGGTGGCCTTCTGCTGCTTGCAAACGGACTCTTTTCCAAATTTGTTGCCCTGATTCGACGCGCTAAGCGCGAATACACTGCAGACTCACTCTCGCTCGTATCCAAGGTAAATCATCAACACTATCATCCCTTACATGTGTTTTATTTAACTAAATACATAATCAGCTAAAACGCGCACCCGAGTCCGTGTTGCTTTCACATTCACGCGAACCGCGGCATAGCTGTGTGCCTGCCTGCTTCAGCGCGATTCATTATAAGGCAGAGCTAAGCGTAGCAGGCTAGTCCAAACTCTTTCAATTCAATTCCAATTTATTTCTATAGCGCTTTTCACAATACATATTGTTTCAAAGCAGCTTTACTTAAAATGCATGCATTGCATCTACTTAAGCCTACAATTCAGAGTGATGTTATCAGTTATGCATTTCAGAAATGTAGCTACATATAAAAAGTAAGCTAATGTATTAATTTAAGGCAGAACAAAGAGCTAATTTAAGTAATGAATACATGCATGTTTTTTAATAGAGCATTAGATTAGGACTCTGACTAATATGGTATAGCCTAATGGAAATGCAGATACTTATGCTTAGATTGTTAATACATAATGTTTTTCAACAGGTGACATTTTATATTTTGGGCCTTCAGTTGAGTTCAAAATAAAATGGACACAACGAAATGACAAACAATGTTTTTTTTTTTTTTTTTTAATTAGTCGTTTAGATTAGTCGACTAATCGAAAAATTAGTCGAAAGATTAGTCGTTAGTGGCAGCACTAATGTAAATATGTATGTATGAGGCAAGTACTGGATGCTTTACTTTTAGGGACCTCAAATGTGTGTGTGTGTGTGTGTGTGTGTATACTGTATGCAAATATGCATGTATGATGCGTATAAGGCAAGTACCGGATGCTTTACTTGTAGGGACCTCAAATGTGTGTGTGTGCGTGCGTGTGTGTGTGTGCAAGTACTACTGGCCTACTCAGCGGAGACTATAGATAGACATCCTCTCTTTCTCTCTTTTCCCCCGTCTCTCTCTTTCTCTCAGTGATAAAATAATCAGTGTTGTGTGATGAAGGTTGAATGATGTATCTGGGTCACAGTGATTGGCCTCTTTACTGGAGACTTCAGAAGCGATCTCTCAGCGCCCGACAGCTCCGTGTGTTCGATACGCTATCGGCACCTGAGTCAGCATCCATCCGTCAGAGAAACGTGCATCGTAAAGAGCATCCGCGTGAAGCCAAACCATCCAGAAATGTAATAATCGCAACGCCCTGATTAAACGTTGTGCTAATGATACGGACTCGTTTACACGGCTCTGCATTGTAATGATTTATTTGCAACATTTGTTTCGTACTCGACATCTCGCGAGCGACTTCTTAGCGCTGAATCTGCACTGATGTTTGTCGTAAATCTGAGCCGAGTCTTTGAGATGACCATGGGAATCTGTGCATTGAGTAATGTTTATGTTTACTAATCTGGATCTATTCGAAAGCGACGTGTTTGTTTCAAAACACTCTCCGTCCACACTAGAGTTTTCAAGCACTTTTCTCGAAAGCTTCTTGTCCACAGATTGACATCAGCGGCGGCCTTAAGCATCTGGGGGCCCGTTTCAATAACTAATATGGGGCCCTACCCACATAAAACATAAACATAATAGAGCAGAAAAAGCAAGGATTCCTGTTGGTTTGCATCAATGGTATATTATTTTATTACGTGCACTTTCAGCTTCATGAACAGGTTGATTCCAAGGGATTGCTCTGATTGGTTGATTCTAAAGGGGAGTGCTCTGATTAGTTGATTCTGAGGGAGTGCTCTGATTGGTTGATTCTAAAGGGGAGTGTTCTGATTAGTTGATTCTGAGGGAGTGCTCTGATTGGTTGATTCTAAAGGGGAGTGTTCTGATTAGTTGATTCTGAGGGAGTGCTCTGATTGGTTGATTCTAAAGGGGAGTGCTCTGATTAGTTGATTCTGAGGGAGTGCTCTGATTGGTTGATATATACAATTATACAGCGTTTTACGTTGGAATAAGCCTCGCAAAGGCATAAACACATAAACTACCGATATTGTACTTCAGATCGCTTAAGCCGTTCGTGGGGGCGGTAATCGTCGCCATGGTAACCGCGAGTTCGACCAATCAGAGACGTCAGTGTTTCGCTTAGAATTGTGGGTAGTGTAGTATTTCTCCAGAAGATCGCGAATAACAAGGTTGATTTCATACCTTGTGGCCGTTCGTGGGGGTGGTAATCGTCACCATGGTAACCGCGAGTTTGACCAATCAGAGACGTCAGTGTTTCGCTTAGAATTGTGGGTAGTGTAGTATTTCTCCAGAAGATCGCGAATAACAAGGTTGATTTCATACCTTGTGGTCGTTCGTGGGGGTGGTAATCGTCACCATGGTAACCGCGAGTTTGACCAATCAGAGACGTCAGTGTTTCGCTTAGAATTGTGGGTAGTGTAGTATTTCTCCAGAAGATCGCGAATAACAAGGTTGATTTCATACCTTGTGGCTTTTATAGGAGCAGAAGCTTTCGTTTCACAACCTCGTAGCTCGTGGTCAATCTACCTTGGATGGTTTAGACATTATGGCTGAAAATCAATATCCTACGGAGAAAATGATTGGGATTTTGCTGGTCTGTTGGGGCCCCCCTTGGAGGGCGGGGCCTGTTTCAATTGTAACGGGTGAAACATATAAGGCCGCATCTGATTGATATATGTAATTATTTTTTATATATACACCACTTCTGTTGTTGATTCAGGATGTGAAGAGAGCTTCAACTAGAAAAACAAAGAGTTTTTATCAACAACAAAAAAATTGCCTAACTTCCTTTAAATCATCTTACAGTGCATTTGTGAATCATACACCCCGGTATAAAAATACATATCTATCGGTACAATATGCATCACATGACTAAACAATATGCATTACATTTATTCATTTTGCAGACGCTTTTATCCAAAGCGGTTTAAAAAAATGAGGGATGCAGCAAGCGATTCATCGAAAAAAGGCAAATAAACACAAGAAGTGCTCATAATACAAAGCAGCATGATCTAGAATAGGGAGGGATTAAAGGAAAGTGAATCACGTGACTAAACAATATGTGTCACATGACTAAACGTGTCATCGTTCACAAACTACAGGCTTCAGGAACTGGAACAAATGTGGGCGGGGCTTGATTTTATCCGTGGGGAATTGATTGGATGGTTGTGGTTTGCTATTGGTGGATCTCATGTGAGTGACAGGTTGCCCCGCCCTCATGCCAGTAATGACGTCACAAGAGAAGAGCTGTCGCTGGAAGAGGGAGGGGGAAGTTATTCGGAGTCAAGATTATGAATTGGAAACAACAATGATGTGCACTGATGATAAATAATTTATAATAAATACTGCAGTATTCCATAACTGTCCGTTTTGATTTCATGGTGACTTTAAAAACCCAATTTTGATTCTGGTTTAGGCTGCGGTTGTGCCATTTTTTCGGGAAAGCTTTGACCTCCCCCTCTGTTCTCAGTCGAGTTGCTCTCCTTCTCTTTTTCCTTCTTCCTTACGAACACACACACACACACACACACACTACTCCCCCTCCCGTGGCTCTCTTTCCCTCAGCATCATTCTGAACTTCATCAATTCGGCTGGAATCACGCAAAATCCATTCTCGGTTCCTCGGTTAAAAATGTTGGATTTGCTTGTTGCTTTGAGGCTTTCCCCTGCACTGGATCTACCGGACAGAAATGTTGCTAAATCAACATGTTGAGGACAAACCGGATCACGGATGTGTTACTGATGACAACTTAACCGCATCGACCCTGATTTCATCCGCGCGTTTTGAACAGAAGCTCTTCGTACTATATCATGAATAACCATTTTTTTGCACGCTCTCTGTTGTTATGTGGTCTAATTGTGCGGTTATGTAACTCTTAAGTGCTTTCCGTGGTAAGTAACCGAGTCTATCGGTATCGCTCATGCTCCGGTGCATGCCTGCACGAGAGAAGCGCGCGCGCTCGCTCCCTCGCGCCGGTGATCCGCACCGTGAATCCGCACCGAATCTGCACGATCGTCCCCGTACCGACCGGACCCGTGTTCCTCCGTGTCCCGTGAGATGGCCGCGGCGCTCGCGAGCTCGCTCATCCGACAGAAACGGCAGGCGCGCGAGGCGAACAGCGAGCGCGCGACGACCGGTAAGCGTCGCTCCAGCCCGGGCAAAGAGCCGTCCGGACGAACCTCTCTGTGCAACCGGCACCTGTTCGGTCTCTTCGGTAAAGTCCGATTCTGCAGCGGGAAAAAACGACCCGTGCGACGGAAATCAGGTCAGTTCGTTCGCACCGCACACACACACACACACACACACACACCTGTGCGCGCGGAGCTCCAGATAAACGCGCGCCTCCTCGCGTGATGATCACCACATGTGCGCGCGGTCAACAGATATTATTTAAAAGTATGATGATGATATATGTTTATGCTGCACTGTTACTGCAAGTTGGACTGCGTGATTGTTTTATTGATAACTTTGATGATTGCATTAGCAATTATAATGTGTTCTATATACACTACCAGTCAAAAGTTTTGGATCGGTAAGATTTTTTTTTTTTTTTTTTTTAAAGAAGCACCAAGGCTGCATTTATTTAATTAAAATACAAAAAAAACCCAGTAATATTGTGAAATATTATTACAATTTAAAATAACTATTTTCTATGTGAATATATAGTAAAGTGTAATTTATTCCTGTGATCAAAGCTGTATTTTCAGCATCATTACTCCAGTCTTCAGTGTCACATGATCCTTCAGAAATCACTCTAATATGATGATTTGATGCTCAAGAAACATTTATGATTATTATCAGTGTTGAAAACAGTTATTTACATTATTTTTCAGGATTCTTTGATGAATATAAAGTTCAAAAGAATAGCATTTATCTGAAATAAAATCTTTTGTAACATTATAAATGTCTTTACTGTCACTTTTGATCAATTTATTATTGATTTATTTTATTTCTTTCCCCCCCAAATTTTAATAAAAATTCTTACTGACCCAAAACCTTTAAAACGGTAGTGTTTAATGTTACAAAAGATTCTATTTCAGATAAATGTTGTTCTTTTGAACTTTCTATTTATCAAAGAATCCTGAAAAAAAAATTAAATAGCTATTTTCAACATTGATAATAATCATAAATGTTTCTTGAGCATCAAATCATCATATTAGAGTGATTTCTGAAGGATCATGTGACACTGAAGACTGGAGTAATGATGCTTTGATCACAGGAACAAATTACACTTTACTAGATATTCACATAGAAAACATCTATTTTAAACTGTGATAATATTTCACAATATTACTGTTTTTTTCTTATTAATCAAATAAATGCAGCCTTGATGAGCAGAAGAGTTTTAAAAACATAAAAAATCTAACCGATCCAAAATTTTTCACTGGTATTGTATATAAGTAGTACACAGACAGATTGACAGTTTCAAGTTTAAACTTCATTTCAGTAATGATAATAATGTTTGATGTTATTAATGTATCCTATTATAAAGTGTGACCCTGAACCGCAGCATGTTACTGTATAATATGACACTTTACAGGTGTGTTTTTGTGTTCAAATTAAACATGCATATTAAAGCTGGCAAATCCTATTCTATTCAGTCGGGTTTGTTTATGTGTGTGACGTCATGTTTTATTCCTTTAGCTCTTCTAAGATGAGAAATATCGCAGAAGTGTGTGTGTAACTCAAATGTCAGAGGTCTTTTGATAGTGTGTGGGCTTTTTAATACTGAATATTGGTCAAAAGCGCTTGTATTCATGCTGAGGAGGGGTCAGATGTCAGAGAAGGGGAGCCGGGTTACTAACATAATTAGCTATAAAACAATTAACACCTTTTAATTGGTCAGCAGCACTTCGGTAGCATGACGGGTTCCTTTTTTAATTCGTTCATTTAAACCCGCACTAAGCTTTGATCTGATTGCAGTTCAGCATGCATTGTGATGTATCCGCTCCAGTAAAACTTGTGCATGTTTATGTTTTTAGGTCCTATAAAACATTTAGTATAGTTCTTCATAAGCGGATCAGAAGAAGAGCCGGTTTACACGTCTGGAACACTTTACAGGTTCTGGATTTACTGAACCTACAATGCCTCAAAAAGCCATTGAAGATGTTTATTAGATTGTGTGCGTTTCACAAGGGGATAGTGACCAGGCTCTTCAGTTGTGTGTGTGTGTCTGTGTGTTTCAGAGACTCAGTTGAAGGGGATAGTGACCAGGCTCTTCAGGTGTGTGTGTGTGTGTTTGTGTGTGTGTGTGTGTGTGTGTTTCAGAGACTCAGTTGAAGGGGATAGTGACCAGGCTCTTCAGTTGTGTGTGTGTGTGTGTGTGTGTGT